TTGTGTATTCTGGGGGTCAAACTGGACTAGATTTAGTCGCCCCCGATCCGAGACTCCGTTCAGCAAAGACTCGACTTCAGACACAAGTTTATCCCGGTACTCGGAGACGTTTTCCCGAGAAGTATTGGCACGGATGGTGTAAAAAGCATCATCAGTGCTGTCATTTGCATAGCAATGAATGTTATGGGTTTGCAACATATCATTGATATGCAGAAGAAACAGCGTTGGCGTTAGCACGCAGCCTTGTGGAACACCAGCATTAATAGGCTTGTAATCGGAGCTTACACCGCTAATCTACAACGACCTTGATGCTCCGATCTGCAAGAAAGCTGGTGATCCAATTGCACAATTTCTCGGGAAGCCCATAGGAAGGGAGCTTCGAAAGAAGCGCTTTGTGCCAAATCCGATCGAAAGCCTTCGCAATGTCCAAACTAACGGCCAATCCGCCCATCTGTGAGTTAGGTAGACCAGAAGATCACCAGCTGACCGACCACGGTGAAAACCGTATTGGCGATCACTAATCAGCTGGTGATCCTCAAGGTACCTCATGAGCTGGCATTTAACAATAGACTCCATTGTTTTGGAGAACAAGGAGGTGATGGCGATAGGCCGGTAGTTGGACGGGTCTGAGCGGTCGCCCTTTTTAAGGATCGGGTGGACGAAAGCCGTCTTCCATGTTTTTGGGACAACGCCTAGAGAGTAGGAGTACCGAAAAACACGAGTTAAAACCGGTGCCAACTCTGGAGCACACGTTCTCAGCACAATTGGGGGGATTCCGTCAGGCCCACTCGACTTGTGGATGTCCAGGGAGAGGAGTGCTTTGCGAACCGAGCGCTGTGTGAACTGTACTTCCGGCATAGAGTACTCACACCGCGGAATAGTCGGCGGCGTACTCCCCCCCGTCATCGAAAGTTGAGTTGGACGCAAAGAAAGAGCCTAGCAGATCGGCTTTCTCCTTTGCGGTATGGGACCAGTGAGTCGTCCTCCCTGTGCAGAGATGGAAGAGATGGCTGACAGAAATTACCCTAGACAGCCTTGGCGAGAGACCAGAATGTACGGGTTCCAAAAGAAGGCGAACTAATTTCTCGCCAATTCTGCCTATGTGCTCTGACTTTGCCTTGGCATTGACTCTTTTGAAGGACCTAGAGGCGGAATTATACTTCTTTTTTAGAGCGCTGGTGCTTACAACCCGGGACGTTGATGCGTCAGTCCAGGCTTGGTAGCACTCCTGCTTATAGCATGATGCTATTTTACAGGAGCGACAAAACCATGACTGAGATTTGCCTCCATTGAGCACCACAGAGGAAGGAGTAAAAATTTGTTCAGAATGACGAAAGCTACCACGAAATACAGCTGTACTATGTCTTGGACATACCAAACGAGTTGCATTTCTAACTTGTCGATGTGAAAAGTGTAATTTCTTACAAAGATACTGTGGTATGTGTATGTGTCATTATGATACCAAACAATAAACTGCCAAAATGAAGGGTACGTCGGGACTGCATATAATCGAGACAAGGTGCTACGTGGGCGTGCTTCGGTATGTATAACAAAAACGTGAACATACGCGTTTTGCACCCCTTGTGAATGAGAAAGGAGACACTCGCATATTACTGCATAAGCGTAATTAGGCTAAGAAAGAATTAGTGACCCACAAAAGTTTATCCTAAGGTCTAAGCTTAAATATTTACGTACCTACTTGGTATAAGATTTTTGGCATAAATTACATTTTATGACAACTTCTAGCAATAGTCGTAGCGAGGAAAGAACAAAAAATAGATTTTATCTACATACATTAATAAAATTGAAGTCATGCATTCATCGATTACAGCCTATAAAATTCTAAACATAAAAACCTAAACAATGGCCCTTCTCATAGCTTGCCTCATGGTGGATTTCGCCGTAGTTGGCTAACGAGTTGGCAAGTGCAGTTTTTTTATCATTTTGAGTTGTTGTCAGGAAGATGCTGCTACCCATCTCTTGTTTCATTTTCTCTGTCACCAGCTACTGCCCCCTCGGTACGATATGGATTCAAACGTCGCCACTACACGATTAAAACATATCTATGTGTTTACCATTGAAGTAATATGTACTTACGTACCAGAACAGCTATTTCAAACAAAAAATGTGCGCTACTTTGTGTTCGCATGGTTGGTTTTTTTATCATAGAATAAATATAGATAGATAGGTGATCAGTTGGTAATAGTAGATTGTATTGTTTAATAGGTATCAATTATTTGGTCATATTGTTTAATATGTATCAATTATTTATTGTATCAAGAACAATTATTAAAATTTGTCAAAAATCTTATATATGTCAAATATAAAAAACATAGTAAATGTATGTTTAACAAAACTTAATATAACATTTAAATTACAAATATATTTATTTAAATTAGAATAAGAGTCGTTCATAAATGCTAGGCACGCGAGAGTTAAAAATGGACGAATTTATTCCACTTTGACTTTGACGTGAAAACATAAAAATAAAATTTAAGAATAATGAGAAGATTTAAATATCAAAATTTAGCCTAATTATGATAACTTATACATTTTTCTACAAAAAAATGTGTATAATAACATATTCGTCCTATACTTACGAGTTACTAAGTACCCACACAAATGTCGCATCTGAACAAATTAATTTCATAATCTACGTTCCATGACACGAGATAGCGTCTTAGGAATAATTTGTTTTATTATTAATCTATAATAGTTTTTTATTGATTAAGTATCTTATTAACCGATGAAAAGTAATTCCTTGGTTTTTACTGACATTTTTTTATAGGATAGGATGACAAACGAGCACACAGTCCACCTGATGGTAAGTGGTTGCTGTGGCCTATAGACATCTACATCTATCCTCGATTACGAATCAAAATGCAGATGCGTTGTCACCCGTGAAGACTTAGGTGGAATGCCTCGTTTCCAGTAAAAAGGGTCTCCGGTTCCCTACACTCACCATACGAAACACTACTTTTCGTATTGTGTAGGGCATTAAGCTACTATTTGACGCTGGTATTCTGTGAGAGCGTGTTCCTTCCCCGGTCGAGCCAACCCATTCATGCTACAACTATACTACTAATACAACTGCAGCCAACAGCATGGCTCTACCACGTAAACTTCTTGAATTATTTGTGCAATATCTAAATACACACGACGGCATATTTATATCAAGAGATTTTTTTAAAATCAACACTACACGTTACAACTCTACAAGCGCCTAGCGAGTGACTGATTAAAGTGCGGTGTAAGCACCGCAGTTGAATGGAACAGAGTGGCTGAACGCAGTGTCGCCTCTAGTACGTAGTACAAAATAGCTCAATGTGTGTTTACTAATCTTTTTTTATAGAATAAGGGTGACAAACGAGCATATATTCCACCTGATGGTAAGGGGATGCTGTGACCCTACATCTACATTAATCCTCGACTAAGAATCAAAATGCAGATGCGTTGTCACCCCTGAAAACTAAGATGGAATACCTCGTTTCCAGTAAAAAAAGGGTCTTCGGATCTCTACACTCACCATACAAAACATAGCAACATTAAGCAACTATTTTACGCTGGTATTCTGTGAGAGCATGGTCCCTCCTCGGTCGAGCCGACACATTCGTGCTACAACTAAAATGTAGCTGCACGTGGCTCTACCACGTACCGATAAAAATATATATAACTAATATTGAAGTGTCTATCTGCGTTAATGAAATAACTAGCTTCTATTAAACTAAGGGGGCTATTTTTAAGCTATTCAACACATAGTAAAAAATTTTTAAATTTTTGTCTGTCTGTCCAGAATTTGAAATGGCTACAATGATCGTGATGAAACTTTACTAGCACGTAGAGAGCAATGTAAGAAGTCTAGGCTATATTTTATTAAAATACTTGTTGATTAAAAAAAACGAACCGAAAAGACTAAAATCTAAATAATGCCACATGACTAGATCCTACACAGACAAAACCGGGGCGGGTCGTTAGTATCTAAAATATCGTTTGGTGGCAACGTATGGTAAAAAGTTGCGAGATATCTGGCGCTCGATCGCAAATCTGCATTACAAGCGTAGCGATTATCTATGCAACGTTTAAAGTTCAGAGATTTTACAATCAAAAGCACAGACCAACGAACAAAATTGACAGAATACTACGTATATTGCCCTTTTTGACCAAATTCAAAAAGTAGTAGGTTCTCAATTCGAGTGCATGTTTTTTTTTGTATGTATATTACGCGATATCTTCGCAGATTGTGAACCAAATTTAATTTTTTTTAACAAATAGGTACATCACGGATGGCTCTATATGAAGTTGGAACAAAAATTCAACGCCTAATAAAACTAATAACTTCTTTTTTAGCAATTCAAAGCCGGTTTTTACTTTTTGTAAAAAGTTATATTTATTATTGAAAACGAAGCATTCCATCTCAGCCCTCGTGGTTGACAACACATCTGCATTTTGATTCTTAATCGCGGATAGATGTAAATATATCTATGCGCTACGGTATTCATTTAATATTGGGTGGACTGTGTGTTCGTTCGTCACCCCTATTTCTTAGAAAAAATCAACTGCAAGGGTCAAACGAACTGACACCAGCTTACGGTGGTGGCTACTGCAGTCCATGGACCAACCAGCCAACTTTAATTATAGAAGGCTACAGATGCATTGTCATTTATAAGGACTAAGATCGAATGCCTCACACCTGTAGTTAAACTGACTCTATCTATCTTTCAGATTGGAACACTGCTTCTTCTTCTCCCTGGCTATTGTCCTAATTTAATCCAGGTCTCCTAGTAATCTTGCGCCACATCGTGCGATTGTGGGTTGTCATTTCCGACATCTAAGTAGATTTCAGGTCGTTTTTAGTGTTTGCAGTCAGCTTATTGATGATCGTCCACGGCCTTTCTCCCCCTGTTCTACGTTCACAACTCTTTTAGTCATATGGTCATCATTCCGTCTCTTCACGTATCCATACCAGCGTAGACGGTTTTAAACCTTAAACTACCACAAATTTAATTGTTTCTTATTTTATCCATTATAGAAACTCCTCCAGAGCAACGTAGCATTATCATCTCAATGACGTGAATTTTCTGTTCATCCGTCTTTCTCATCATCCAGCATTCAGATCCATATAGCAGAGCTGGTCTTACAGCTCTTTTGTATACATTGTCCTTTATTTTAATAGGCATAAGGGAGTCGCATAGAATGCCATACAGCGATCTCCATTTTAACCAAGCTGTTTGGGTTCTATTTTGTATGTCTCTATCTATACTTGCCTTTGGTGCTACAATGGATCCGTGATACTTAAATTCTTCGATTCTCTTAAGAGGACTACCTTCGATAGATGGACATGGACTAACATCCACATTGGCATTAGAAAAGTTACAGTACATGTATACAGTCTTCTCTCTATTGACTCTCATCACTCTCCTTTTTAAAGACTTCTGCCATATTGTCAGCTCTGACTATTCAGATTGGAATACAGCAGTGAAATGCGCGTTCAATTTGGTGATAAAAATAGTTAAGCAGTTGGTACTTAGTTGGGCCCTTTACAGAAAATTTGTTTTATATAGTAAGAGTGATAAACGAGCACATAGTCCACCTGATGGTAAATGAATGCTGTGACCTAGAGACATCTACATTTATCCTCGATCAAGAATCAAGATAAAAATGCGATGTCACCCTCGAGGACTACCATGAGATTCTTCCAAACTTGTCTGCTATTTTACACTTATTTCTGTATACATGATGCTTCCCCGATTCTCACCAATTGCACATGGCTCTACAACTTTAGCATGCTCACTTCTTGTCATGCACTCACAAACACATTGTTTTTCTTTCTTTAAAAGTCCACAAAATTAAACATATGCGCCTAAAACCATGTGGTTGATTGCAATCGACTATAAATTCATTTGTGTAGGTAAGTGCGTGTTTTTACAACTTGTTGAGCATGGTTTTCAAAATTGTTATTTTCGTTGAAATACTAAGTCCATAAAAGTAAAGTTAAAGTTACTCCCATATCTCGCCTATACGTTCCGCTACTGGTCACAGGTCTCCCTCATTTTTGAGAGAGTTTTAGGGCAAGGTAGTACGCCGCACTGCCCCAACTCCCAATATGTGTTGGCGAATTCATATGTCTTCGAAATATTTTTTCTTATTTTTCAGACATGCAGATTTCCTCAGGATGTTTTCCTTGATGAGCACGTGGTAAATCAGAACTTTAAATTGAAATGAGCAATAACATTGGTACCGGCAGTGGGGATCGAACTCGGGTTACGCGGTTCTCCGAACCATCACGGATCTAAAAAAAATAAAGTTACAGCCTATATACGCCCACCTCAGCCCCCCCTAGAAAATCCACTTTTTTCTTATTCCTCAGAATCAGCCCACCCTTCACTCAAAAAGCAATTAACAATTCATGCCCATATTAGGATCTTATTATTTTTTCTTAATTTTTATTTAACTAACCACAGCTATAATATATTGTTAAGTGATATATCCTCCCATTATTTCTAATAATCTCAAAGTCACGCCCAGCTTGCCTCAAATCGCTTTTGACATTACAAATGCGGGAAACGGGAGCCGTTTAATGCACCACAGATAATGCATGTGAATTATGTTCGGTCTCTGGAACATGAATTATTAGACCATTTCTACGTTCAGCGTTAGCATATTGCAGAATTACATAGGGATGAGAATGGACTAAGTACCTAACGGCCTATTATATGCCGGGCCTATATATCAAGAATTTTAATGTATTAAGAAAATATTGTTTAATATAGTAAAGTGCAGATTGATGTGTAGAGTACATGATTGATAATGGGAATGAAGTGATCGTTACATACTATTTCTAAATGTTCTTATAATAGATTGCATAAAACATTACATTGTAATGTTTAAAAAAAAGTCCCACTGGATTTCTTGCTGGTGCATACTTAGACATAGTTTTTTTCCGAACCTGTGGTAAAACTTAATCTCAATAAATATTCTTGTAACATACTGTATAAAAACCATTCTATCCTATACTATCAATAAAATCAACATAGGTAGACGGATACCTCGAATAATATATAAAATATCATCCACTGAAACTCACACTTTTTTTTTTAAATTGTAGCATTGGCTACAAGGATTTTGGCTTAAAGAATACATCAATACGTAATATATATATATATATATATATATATATATATATATATATATATATATATATATATATATATATATATATATATATATATATATATATATATATATATATATATATATATATTACGTATTGATGTATTCTTTAAGCACCTCCGCGCCCTCCCTCAATTGCATGCTTAGTGCATGCAATTGAGGGAGAGCGGGAGGTGCTCTTCCGTCACCACTAATCCCAGCACCACTACTCCCAACACCAATATTCCAGGCAAGACACACCATCGACGATAATACGACACGTGTTTCGCCTCTACACGAGGCATCTTCAGGTAATGTAGACCTCCCTTTACCTATATGGAAGGTAATCAAAATAAGAATGTGTTTTAAGATTTTATTTTACAGTTTTGTTGGCGTGACTCATATCGTAGCGATCGCTTATTGGATTAATTTAAATCATGTACTGTTCAGTCACTGTTATACACTTTTACTGTTGTAAATTGTTATCGTTATGAACTGTTACTGTTATAAACTATTAATATTATATGCTGTTACTGTTATAAACTATTAATGTTATAAGCCGTTACTGTTATAAACTATTAATGTTATAAGCTGTTACTATTATAAACTATTACTGTTATAAGCTATTAATATTATAAGCTGTTACTGTTATAAACTGTTACTATTATAAACTATTAATGTTATACGCTGTTACTGTTATAAACTAATAATGTTATAAGCTGTTACTGTTGTTAACTGTTACTGTTATAAACTATTAATGTTATAAGCTGTTACTGTTATAAACTGTTAGTGTTATAAATCATATACCATGTAGTGGTGGTGATAAAATATCCATTACCCCATATCACCCATTTGTTGCGTGGGAGGCGACATACATAGTTAAGCAAATCAGGAGATGAGTTGCAGTGTCTTCTAAACAACTACTAAAAATAAAATATGTATTTGCCAAGCGTGGCAACTATGCCAAATATCCCCCAATGAGGCAATCTATGGGGGAGATCTATGTTCACCAACGGGCCTTAATAAGCTGTACGGTAAATAATTTTTGCTTAACAAAAATAGGTATGTATGTGTGTGTGACTATTTCTTTGGCTCGCTCTGCACCCTGCATGTATGTTGTTAGATTTGTTTTAGTAGTGGAATAGACATGTGTCTATCATTCATCTCTAGTGATAGAATCATTCTAGTACATTTCGTCACGCGTACCGGTACATTCGGATCGATCATTCAAACGTATACTTTCGGGCTCCAGTACCCTACACTAAAAACAGTTCATTCAATCATCGTTCGGGATCCGGTCGATTTTCGAGTCACTTACAATTCACACTAATCCCGAGTTAAAAAGGTTCCGTAAATTGTTTGTGATTGGTTGTACCAGAACATTCGAAAACGGATGAATGGACCATCAATACTTTTAAGTGTACCAATTCAAATCGAACGAATCATTCATTATTGACACATGTCTATTGTGGACGTGACTTGGTAAAAAAAAGTTCTTTTCAGTAAAAGTTATTTATAGGTAACCTAGCTGGGAGATTCGGGATTCTACCCATTTCTAATTGGTCCTCATGGTGTATTGTATGTATTTGTAAACAGTATGAATTTTGTAGTAGAGCCATACAGGGTAATGTAGACACAGCCATACATCAGGTAATGTAGACTCTACGGCGGCTGACCGCCGTAGAGTCTACATTACCTGAAGATGTCTCGTGTAGAGGCGAAACACGTGTCGTATTATCGTCGATGGTGTGTCTTGCCTGGAATAGTGGTGTTGGGAGTAGTGGTGCTGGGACTAGTGGTGACGGAGTTAGTGCATGCAATTGAGGGAGGGCGGGAGGTGCTCTTCAATCCAGGTAAGACACATCATTGTATTTGTTTGGCGGAAGGTTGCGAAGAAATTTATATTTTTATTTTTTACTAGTGATTGAGCTAAATTATTGATTTAGTAAGTTATAACTTAAAATTTAAATCGAAATTTACATTACATAGAGCTCGCGAATCGAACACAGATAGCGTTATTTATTCCCGAAGCTACGACTCAGAACTCAACAATAGCCACTTGCGGGATAAAACTGTTGAAACTACAGTTTGTCGGGAAAGATCGTAAACGGTACCGAATGCGCTCGGTGTAATAAATGTGCATTGTTATTTTGATGGTTCGCCATTTCAACTAAGTATAACATTGGATTACATACAATCTTTTGTTTCATTGTAACATGTTTGTATTTTATTTTTGAAGTGAAAACATTTGATATTTTCAAAAGGTATCGTGCTACCCCGCCATGCGGACTTGATAAATCTACACAATTAGCCAATAAAACCACTTTTTTAACGTAAATAGCACATAAAAGATTTAAGAAAAATAAGTTCAAGAATCATTTATCTTTCTGACAATGTGCTTTTACACTATGACAATGCGCTTATACACTTTTACTGTTGTAAATTTTGCCCATGTATTCATTACATCGTGTCGAGGGATATCGTTGAATAGGTCTTTCGAAAATATCATGGGTATGCACAATTTTTTTTTAGATTCGAGGATCGAAATGTTTAGCATTAAAGTTGTAAGTTTCTTCAGATTCATGTTTTTTTATAGGAAAGGGGGCACGAGCAGCGGTCTATGTAGTATCCCGCCACAGCAACGCAACAAGGGCGGCAAAACAAGGAAAATATAATGAAGTTAAAAGGAAAACTATCACAGTTAAGTAGAATTAACTAAGGAGAAGTAGTCAACGAACTTATAAAATGCACATGGATTAGTACAAATTTCGTTACAATTCCATAGAAAATTACATAAAACTAGCTGCATTATAACTTTGTAATGTTAGTGTAAACTGTAATAAATAAATATTTTATGAAGAAAACCACTGTTACTACTTCCTTACTTAAATACATTACTATTATAGCTTCACTTTTTCATTATTGGGGTATGCAGGGAAGATTATTCTTACCTACTTCCTACTTTCGCTTATTTTTAAGTTGGTAGTTATTGCAGTAGGCCTCGTTCAAGTATTCATACAATCATATAGCCTCATACAGTTTCGTTCGTGGTACTCTTGGTTTACGCGGGCGACCCTCAGGATAGTTTAGGTCAGGGGTGTTCACAGGAAGGTTGTTACGGTAATATATATATATATATATATATATATATATATATATATATATATAATATAGATATGTAGATAGTCAACTATTAACATTTTCGTACGGACTTTGCTTGTGATTTAATGATGTAGATTGTATTATTTTTAAGATCGAAAAG